CCTAGCCTCTCAGTTTTCTTCCCTGGAGGCAGCTGGCAGCCACTTTTGCTAGCTTCAGCTTCCAGAAATAGCTTATAAACATATCAATAAATGCATCTAAATATTCAGCCTTCGTTTGAAAGAAATGTATGGATAAATCTGATTAGTGGAACTTAGGTGATATGCTTGCATATGAGCTGCTAGGGAATCTGGGAATTTTGATTCTCTGTTTTTAATCCAGGAAGTGGGGTTTGGAATATGCAATTTTTCAAAAAAAAGACTTTTCCAAAAAAGATGGGCAGTCACAGATATGACAGATGTCCACAAAGTTTCCTAGAATTCTATTGTGTGGATTAATCACAGTTGATTAATATCTTAGAGGTGGACCTCCAGGTGTTTTCTGATCTGTTAATTGGTGCTATATTGAATGAGCTTATACTTATGTCATTTTACTTATGTAACATGGAATATAAATTTCAAATGGCCAAACTTGACAGTGAGTACTAGGTAGGATATTATGATATTATATGGCTCTCATGGTGTTTATTTCTCTCTATATCACAGTAACATCTGTGTGGTATTCTTGCCAGAAATGTTTGAGCTGAATGTAATCATAAGAAAACAAATAAATCCCAAATGTGGGACATTCTGAGGACAGCTGGTCTGGACTCTTGAAAGGATTCAATGTCATTAAGGACCAAGGGGGATTGTGCCAGATTAGGGGGAGACTAAGGGAACATAAGATTAAAATGCAGTGCATGAACATTGATTAAATACTGGATCAGAATAGGAAAATCCAGCTAGTAAGCCATTTTGAGGGCAATTGAGGAAATGTGAGTGTGGACCATGTGTTATATGATAATATTGTGTCACTGTTGATTTCCTTTGGTGTGGTGATGCTGGTGTAGTGGTGTAGGAAAATATCTCTGTTTCTAGGAGGTAAACAATAAAGTACTTAGGGGTGGTGGGTCATGAGATGTGTCTATAACCTACTTTTCAGATGGTTTGGCAAAGTGGGAAGGAAGAAGGGTGTGGATGTGTGTAGAATAGGTTGTTTTGTTCCATGATGCTCATTTCCTAGCATACACAGTGCTTTTGGTGGTGAGTGGCCAATATACTTTAAAATTAATAAGTACTTTAAGGTATTAATAGGATCCTCTGTCAGAAAACACAACTAAACACTGTATGTCTGACCTCCTTTTAGGAGTGTGGTTTGGCTTAGGCATATACCACAGTACCTTATATTGGTCAGTAGGATAGAGGGGTTTGTGTTTTGTTTAGTGGTTTACCCCAAGTCCCTCTGGACTGCCAGTCTATTGAATATTAGAAAATATAAATGAGTAGGAAAGGGAAAAGCCAGCATATCATTACCTGCCTCCTCAATTGTTTCCTAAGAGGCTGAGTTACAACTTGTAAGTGTGTACTTCAGACTCTCTTCAGGATTTCTGTTGTTGAGTGTGCCTACTTGGGAGCTGACACCACTTGGGGGTGTGCTGAGTCAAAAGAGGCACCTTTCTGGAGTGTTTAGTGGCTGGGACACCACTGAGGGATTCTCCCGAGCTCTGAGGTTTATGGCCAGAATGGAGAATGGTGGAAGCTTTGACTTAACCCCATACCCTCCTAGCTGAGCAGGAAGGGAACGGAGAAGTTAAAATTCTGTTATATTCCTGCAGGAGCTCTTGGGTTATATGGTGTGAGATGACTAAAGCCAATTTAGCAGCCACTTGTAAAAGTAATTACAAAATGAGAGAAAGAACTATTCTGCTGCTACAGGCTGTGAAAACTAATTAATTCAACATTCATTGAGCAACTGACTATATACCAAGCATCATAAAGTACATATCCCTGGGAATACAAATGATAAGAACATAATTTTGCCTTGTGTTGGCAACTTGGGATGGGGGAAGGAGATGGGGTACAGTGGAGACAGTTACCACTGTACTGATTTAACTGTATTACAAGGCTTGTGATGTGATAGCTGGTAAAAAGAGGTTTGAGAATGCAGAAAACATGCCACATGGGATTGCTTAAGGTTCAGAGGCAAGATTGGTCTTTGGGTGACTTGAAGAATAAGCCCGACAGGCAAAGAAGTGGGGAGCTATTTGGCTTCCATGCAGAGGGCTCAGCAAGTGCCCATAAGCCCAAATGGATTTGGGTGTTGAGAGATGGGTTGGAATCTGGTGTGGTTACAGCCTTAATTAGCTGCAGGGCGAGGGTTTTTGGAAGGGTAGTTTGGGCCAGACAGGGGGGCCTCAAAAGCCACTCCGGAGTCTGAGTTTTGCAGGAAGGGAACGAGGAGCCCTGGAAGCCCCTTGCAGTTGGAAGATGTCCCGGTTTTAATAAGAGACCATGAAGGCTGGTGTGTGAAGGTGCACCGTCTAGGGAAGACTGGGAGCAGTGGAGTCAGAGCAAAGAATCTGGACTTTGCCAAGTGCAGCCCAGAGAGAATAGAAAATAGGGGTGCTTTTGGAGAAATTTTCCAGGTCCTCTCTCTAAGAGTTTTTAAGTTTCAAAATGTAAGGAGGCCTTTAAAAATACTTGAAAGAGAGAAACTTATTCAAACCTTTGAATAGTTCTGAAAATTTATTACATTTCAGCTAGGAAAGAGAGTATTATTTCAGGCAAACTGGAATGTGTGTGGACTGGTTATTCAGCACAGTCACTTAATCTTACAGAATTAGGTAGGAGGGAAGCTATTTTAGTGGCCTTCAACCTCCTTCCAGAACTTTGTCCAGGATCCACCCACATTGTTGGTGATTTTTTTTTCTGATTTGTATCCAGCATCCCAGCAGTTTAATGTGCATCTGTAAGCTGTAAGGAAGTTTTCCCCTTTTTCCATTTCTTGCCTTCCACCTGAAAAAACAAACTCTAGTCCATAGGTCCTTATTCTGTTTTATAAATTTGTACAACACGTAATCTCAGATGGATCCAGCCGAGAGTGTAACAGGTTTAAAATTTAAACTAAAAAGTAAGAGTGGAATCTTTTCATTTTTTCTTTATTTTGAGTAAATCTCAGTGACTTAGATTGTTTGAAGAAGAAATATTGTAGAATACCTCCTGCTAATGGAGTATCTGGAATAAATCACCACCTTTTTTCCTTCAGATATCATCAAAACATTTCTACCCATAATTTAGAGCTTTTCCAGACGGAATTTAAACTTAAAATACTTTGAACTCTGATGAACAACAACAACAACAAATCTTATAAAATCAACCTGTTTTTTGGATCAAGAAGTCCCAGACTATGAGACTCCATATGCAAATTCCAAAGGCTTATAATTATTTTCTCTTCCTTGAGAACTGAATATTTCAGAATGTTCTTGGCATGCTTCTCAGAGGTTTCATGTATAAAGAACAGGAAAAGTGACCTATGGGCTTACCTCGGTTAAATGTGTATATTCTACTTTGTATACAAAGCAGTGATTCTAATGCTGTATGCGACCAAAGGACAGATTCCAAGGTAAACAAGGTGCTTTACTAATGTCAGATTAGGGCATGAGTCTTAAACTACCATAATAAACGTTATACCAGTATTTTCGGTTACCTGTAATAAAGAGATTTCCAGTTCAGTGTAGTAGCTGTGGTAAAGGAATAACTGAAGGTGAACTTGATACTACATGGTTACCTTTTGAAATGTAGTTGTTAAGTTTTTCACATATCAAGGATTACAATTTCTTTTTTTCCTTTTTTGGTACTAGGGATTGAACCTAGGGGCACTTTACCACTGAACCACATTCCCAACACTCTCCCCCTGCCTTGGGTACTAGGGATTGAACTCAGGGGCACTAGACCACTGAGCCACATCCCTAGCCCTAGTTTTGTATTTTATTTAGAGTCAGGGTCTCACTGAGTTGATTAGCACCTCACTTTTCCTCTGGCTGGCTTTGAACTCTTGATACTCCTGCCTCAGTCTCCAGACCCAGCTCTTTTTAAATATTTTATTTAGAGACAAGATTTTGCTGAGTTGCCTAGGGTCTTGCTTAGATGCTGAGGCTGGCCTCCAACTTGTGATATGGAGAATGAACCTCCATAAACCTATCACCTGACTTCAACCATTATTAATTCTTGGTTATGCTTGTTTTACCCATGTGCCCACTTCCCTGTTTATGCTGAAGCACATCCAAGACAATGTATCATATGGTGTTCATTTATAGACATTTGAATGGCTTCCTCTCAGAATACACTGGGAAATAAATTATACCCAGGATATTGGGAAGAGCTTCAGAGCAAAAGTCACATTTGAGCTCCATTCAGATGTGGGGAAGGATTTTCTAGTTCCAGGTGATGGGATGGAAATCACCAATTATTGTAGTATCTTAAAAATATGTGTGTAGTACTTTTTTTCTTTCAGTACTAGTGATTAAACCCAGGGTTGCTTTACCACTGAACTACATCCCCAGCCCTTTTCATTTTTTAAGACAGGGTTTCACTAAGTTGCACAGGCTAGCCTTCTGCTTGCTACCTTTTGCCTTAGCCTTCTGAGTACCTGGAGTTACAAGAGTGCCCCACCGTGCCCTACTGTTCAGTACTTTTGTGTTCTTCTGAAACGATCACCCAAAATATAATTTCAATGATTAGGAAATAATTTCTCCTGAGAACTTTGTGATAATAATTTACTTCTAATTTTGATAAACTAGGATAATCCACAAGTAGTGGTAATAACTAAACTGTTCTCTTCACCCCAGTGACTCTAGACTTTGTACATTAGAATCCACCCCCTAAAAAAATCACTCTCCTTTGTAAGAGGAGTAACAGCCATCCTTTGTCACCTTTATTTTAATCTTTGAAAGAGGAGGAAAATAAGTACTGAAACATCATGGGTAAGTAGAACTTAATGATCTGAATTAAAAAATCTCCCTGTCAACTGGAGGAGAGGGAAACCAACCGGTGTGGATATGTAGGTTCCCAAGTGACTTTTGGTTAGCTACCTTGTGAAATTCTTCACGTTTCATCATATATCTTGTCTCATTTTCCTGTTACAAAATGGAGTTTTCAGCATTACTTTTCTTATCTGTTTTCAGATCACAGAACTGTGTGGTGCAAAACGGGTTGGTTATTTTGGTCCAACACAGTTTTACGTTGCCCTGAAATTAATTGCTGCGGCACAGTCTGGTCTGCCTGTGCGGATAGAAAGTATTAAATGTGGTGAGTATCTCACACTTTATATTTTTTATTGTCTGTGACAGGTTTCTTATTTATGAGGACAATTTTTAGTGGGGTTAGGGCCTATTCTATAAGCTTTTGTGGAATTTCTCCTCACTTCCTCCAACTCTGTAAAAAAAAAAAAAACTTAGCAGGTGGCTTAGTTCCTTTCTTTTTTAAATGGGCAAAAAAATTCAGAGAGTGACCTGAGATTAGTTCCATTTAACTGACTTGCATATAAAACAGATTTTGTTATTTAGGATGAGACTGGGACAGGACTTCTAGAGCCTGTGGCAAAATAATAAGATTCAGTTTAATTTTCCACTTGAGGTACCTATAATGTCACTTAAGGCTCTCTTAGGGATTAGGGGTGGAGTGACGGAGAGAGTTGAGTGGAACTGTTCTTTTTTTCTCTTTTCCATTCCTTTAAGTCACATCAGATATGCTCATCCTTTAATTTCCAGTTCCCAAAGCACTGTACTAAAATTTTGGCAGAATGAATCTATCTTCTCATAGTTCTGATTTATTATTCTCTTATCTTTCCATCCCTGTTCCCAGCCCACTAATATGCTTGAGCTCTCTCCACAGCTTAAACAAAAAACAAAGGCCCCAAATATTAATATTATTTCTACTGCCTTAGAAGGAGATTTTAAAATCCATATGAAGAAGGTGATTATCAGAGGAATGCACTCAAGTCCTTTGATAATTCACTGTGATACAAAGTACTTTCATATATCCACATGGTTATGCAGGAAATTTGTTTCTTTTCCTCATTTTGAGGTAAAGATTACTCAGCTGTTCTCTCCTGTCCTATGAGGGTTGTGGTAGACACCTAAATGGGTCAAATATTTATGGTTAATTCATAGAGACTGTGTGGACAATCCAAATATTAGAGATGATTGCTGGCTATGATAGCTGGCTATGGGAGACAAAGCCCCTTACACTAAGCATCAGGGGGCTGCAGTCATCTGTTAATCTTTTACAAGGACTTAGAGTGTGCCAGACACTGTCATATTTAATCCTCAGAGCATCCCAGTAAAGTAGGTGCAGTGCTTATTAGGTTTACATTGTTTGGTATAAACTATAGTAACACATGCCACAACTATCTCAGTGCCTTCACTAGACAAAGATTCTTGTCCCACTTTGCAGTGAGTCAGGGTGACCCTCTAGAGCAGCTGTTCTCCATGTGGTGGCCCTGTGATCCTGGCTGCTTTACCTTATGGCATCTCCAACACAAAACCTGTCCCCCCCAATTGCTGCAACAGGGAAAGAGTTTCTCACCCTAGCAGTTAAATTCTTTTGGCCTGAGTGTGACTCATATTTTTGCTGCTCAAAGTGCATTGGCCAGAACTTTTCACATGGATCTGATTCACTGCAGAGCAAACTGGGGAAACACAATTCTCTCAGGTGACTTCGAGGAGAGGAGAACTGGTTATGGCATAACATTGTGAGTCTCTACTGGGGTGTTATTATTTGTCCCAATTATTGTCCCAGATTTGGAAATTGAAGTTTAGGGAGGTTGAGTAACTGAATATATATATACCCAGGGTTAGTAAAATTTAGAGTCAGCATCTCTGCCTCTGGACCCTATGCCCCATTGCTATGTAAAATGGCTTCTTCTCCATTCCTCTTTCCTTTTAGTAAGGTGCTAACTATAACCTGCAATCGTGAAATATTTTCCAAATGGGAAAATAATTGGACCCAAAAGGTATGTGTTTACATTACAGAATTTGGTTCTTTGACATAGGTTTCTTGATGGAACATCATTTCATCAGGTGGCTTGGTGTCTGTTGCTAGAAGACAATCTGCCCTAAGACTGTTGCTACAAGACTGCTACAGCAGTCATTGGCTTTGATGGCTGAAAGTTACATCATATTGAATTTGGATTTGTCATAGTTCTTATTCCATTGTAAATGGGTATTAAAACTTTATTGTAGGGGTTGCCAATGTTATCTTCTGAAAAGTTAGAGCTAATTTGTTGTATACTAGAATAAACTTCTGGTGCACACCTATAATCCCAGTGGCTCTGCAGTCTGAGGCAGAGGATTGTGAGTTCAAACTCAGCCTCAGCAATTCAGCAAGACCATAAGGAACTCAGTGAGACCCTGTCTCTAGTTAAAATACAAAAAAAGGGCTGAGGATGTGGCTCAGTGGTTAAGTGCCCCTGGGTTCAATCCCCAGTAACCAAAAAAACTTCTGACACTTTTATTACCTATTTTAAGTTAAACTTAAATCTTTCACCTGATTTGTGGGGCCAAATGTTTTCTCTGATAAGTGGATGCTAATCCATAATGGGGGGTGGGGCGATGGGATGAGTAGAGGAACTTTGGATAAGGCAAAGGGGAGGAAGGGGAGAGCAGGGGGTATGGGGGTAGGAAAGATGATGGAATGAGATGGGCATCATTACCCTAGGTACATGTATGATTGCATGAATGGCATGACTCTGTTTCATGTACAACTAGAAAAGTGAAAAATTTTGCTCCATTTGTATACAGTGAATCAAAGAGCTTTCTACAGTCATGTATAACTGATTAGAACTAATAAAAAAAATTCTTTTACCTGATTTGTTCCCAGATCTACAGCTTAATTTCCTAGGGGCTGTGAAAAGGATTGTCAAAGTATTTGTGTAAAGGATTAGTACCTTCTCATAAAGAAATAAAGTTTTCTTCTTTGTATTTTAGAAACATTGATGTAGCCTTTTTAATATATATATATATATATATATATATATATATATTTATTTATTTATTTAGTTGTAGTTGGACACAGTATCTTTATTTATTTTTATGTGGTGCTGAGGATCAAACCCAGTGCCTCACACATGCGAGGTGGGTGCTCTACCACTGAGCTACAGCCCCAGCCCAAAGGACTTTTTTTTTTTTTAAGTTATAGAGGGACACAGTATCTTTATTTTGTTTGTTTATTTATTTATTTATTATGTGGTGCTGAGGATCTAACCTAGTGCCTCACATGTGCAAGGCAAGCACTTTGCCACTGGGTCACAACCCCAGCCCCTGATGTAGCCTTTGTTTTTTTTTTTTTTTTTTTTTGATACCAGGGATTGAACCCCAATCACTGAACTACATCCCTATCCCCTTTTACAATTTTTTATTTTGAAACAGGATCTTGCTAACTTACTCAGGGTCTCACTAAGTTGCTGAGTCTGGCTTTGAATTTGTGATCCTCCTACCTCAGCTTCCCAAGCCACTGGGATTACAGGCATGTGTCACTAGTCTTGGCTTGATGTCTTTTACCTCTGGGGGTTTATGTATATCCAGAGTTTATTCTGAATTGTCTTCCTTCATTTGAAGTTTTACTAAATAAAAGTTATTTGTAGTTAGCATATTTTGCTGAAGAATAAAGGCAAGATTGGGCCAAACTTTGAGCCACCACCTAGAATTTTCCACTTTGTTGCTTGCATCCTATTAGCTTGATGTTTGGCGACATAAACCTTGAAGGCCTCTGTGAAGCCCTAACCTGAAAGCCTAGTGGTAGCCCTGTCACTTTCAGGCAGTCACATCCATTGAGTTGTGAATGGATACCCTTATTTTAAGAATGGCATGCGTGTGTGTGTGTGTGTGTGTGTGTGTGTGTGTGTGTGTGTGAGAGAGAGAGAGAGAGAGAGAGAGAGAGAGAGAGAGAGAGAGAGAGAGAGAGAGAAAACCTCTATCCCTTAGTTTTTCCAGTTTTGGTAAATGACACAACCATCTACAGATGTTCATGCCAGAGATCCAGAAGTCATCCTGGATTCCTCCTTTTTCCTCACTCCCCAATATAGTCATCAATAGCACTGGCAGTATGGTTCTAGTGTCACTGCTTGTTGCCTCCATCTCTTTGTTCCCACTAGACCAGGTCACCTTCTACAATTACCTGGGTAACACAATGGTTTTGCCATTGTTTTTTTGGTCTTCTCTTTTCTCTTTTCCTATCTCATTTCCAACTTGAGAAAGAGTGACCTTTACAAAACAGATGTATAAAATTTCATCCTCTTTCTTAAAACTCTACAGACATTTGCTTATTGTGTATAGTAGAGTGGCATTGATCTGTAAGACTCTGCATATAATCTAGTCCCTGTTTACTATTCCATTTTTATATCAGAGCTCTCTCCCTCACTTGAACTTTTTTCCTTAGCCTCATGGCCTTCGAGCCATTTCTGGGCAATCTCTTTCCAGCTGTAGGACATATATACATGCTATGTTGACATCTTAAGTTCCTAAGGGTGGGTTCCTCTTCCCTTCTGTGTCTCATGGTTGCTTTGTTCTCATCCTTCAGGATTCAGAGACTGCTCCCACCATCCTATCTAAAGTACATCTTGTTATATTAATTCATTAATTATGGGAGTAGCATATGGTAAAGCTGGTTTTAGAAAGTGTAGAGAGTCAGAGGTATTTATAGTCATAGAAGGAAAGGAGGCTGGAATAGGATTGGTATATTACATATAAAACCAATTAACATTCTATAGGGCAATAAAATTGGAATTCATTTATTGTACTCTTTTCGAAGATAAAATTTATTTTCAGTGTTATTAAATGAGAGTTACTTGTTAGCTAACAGTTTTCTACAATTTAATAGCTACCCTTTCAGAATTGCAACTTGGGAGGCTGAGGCAGGAGGATCAACTCCAGCCTCAGCAACTTAGTGACAATCTAAGCAGCTTATCAAGACTCTGTCTCTAAATAAAATATAAAAAGAGGTCTGGGGAATGTACCCCTGAGTTGAAGAGTAAATAATAAGTTGCAACAGAAGTCTATAAACCTAGAGAGTTAAGTCATTTATTTATTTATTTACTAGCTTATTTATTATTTATTTTCACTAGGGGCACTTTATCACTGAGCCACATCCCAGTTGAACTCAGGGGCTGTTAAACACTGAGCCACATCCCAATCCTTTTTATTTTTACCTGTCTATCTATTTTTCTATTTATTTATTTGGTACCAACAATTGAACTCAGGGATGCTTTACCACTGGCCACATCTCCAGTCCTTTTTATGGCTTTTATTTAG